TATCCTTCTCCCTTATATACTGCATATACAGGGTGCTCTTACTAATTAAAAACAAAGGTCTATATAAACACAGAAGCATACTCACATATTGGAAAAATGTCACTTGTTACCATAACATCAATTTCAGTGGCTACCCAATAATCAGTTATAGGGACTTAACCATAGCATAACCATTTCCCTAATACTGCACGTTCAGATTATTTCCAATTTTGCTATCACATAAAATTTTCAATTGACATTTTTCTATCTTCATTCTCTTCTCCAGCAGTTTCCTCAAAAATATTTCTATTCGTGGAATTACTGAATGAAAGGATAGGAAGTTGCATAAAACGCTCATTGCAGTTTGACAAATTGACACAAACTTTCTGTAGAGCAATTCACGCTCCCGCCCACGGCATAGGAAAATGTCTCCCCTATCCTCATCAGCACTACCTATTATCTTTAAAAACCTGTACCTAATTTGAAAAGATGTGATTGTGAAGTTTGACATTTTTTCTCATGTGATAATTAGCCATTTTATATCCTCTGTGAATTTTCTGAGTTCTTTGCCCATTTTCTCTCGTGATATTCATAATTCTATTTAATTATTAATGCTTACATAATACAAATTTGCTGGGGCATTTTAATTAAGAATTTCATAGTTACTGTTGCGGTGCCTGGGAGGCTCAGGTCATGATCTCAGGGTGCTGGGTCAAGCCCCAAGTCCGGCTTCCCACTTAGCAGGGAGTCTGCTTGTCCCTCTCCCTCTGCCCTTCCTTCTTCTCATGTACTAGCTCTCTCTCTCTCTCTCAAATAAATAAATAACTCTTTTTAAAAAATCCTTTTAGCTGTACTGATATCTCTTTATAAGTCCTAATTTGATATAGGCACATTTCCCTTTTGTTGGTTTATCAGTGTCAAATTATTTCATTAATTAAAAAAAAAATCAGCTCATAGATTTATTAACTCAATTGTTTTATTATCTTCAAACTAAGTTTATCTTTATTATTTTCTTGCTCTTGGGTTCCATATACTTACTTTGTTTTCCCTAACTCTTTGAATTGAACTTTTTAAATAAAGGAAAATAAACCTTTAAAATTTCCTGAGTACAGATTGGACTTTTACCCTATACATTTAATAGATAAGGTTTTCACTTTCACTATGTTGTAAATCATCTAATTTTGCAGGTTTTTTTGATTAAATAATTATGAGCTTTTAATAAAGGTCTTTTTCTATAATGTATGTTACTAATGCAACTTCAGTGCATTGTGGTATATGAACTTGGTCTACACAAGGGAAAAAATACTGACGGATTTTGGTGACCTAGTTTATGACCAATTTTAATGGCTCAAATTCTCATAGTCTTAACAGCTTAGTTGAACAGATTTTAGCATATGACGTTTTATTTGTGGGAGGCAGATTCTCAAGTGAAAGAGTACTCTCTTCCCTGAAATTCATCCTCTCTTCTCCAGGTCCATTGATGTCATTCTCTCACCCCTTAGCATCTCTTATCTGGATCACTCAATAAACTCAAAATTGATGTTGCAGCCTTGCATCTCTGCTACTCCCTAAGTCCAGGAAAATATCCATCTCCTACTTAAAAGGTTTTCATGTTTCCCTATTGCATATGAAATTTAGGTCAAACATTTTCTCCATGATATTCATAGCTTTCACAACCTCTCCCCAGTTGTCTTTCTAGGCTCCTCCCAGTATCCTTCAACTCACCTATGCTCCCACCGCCAGTGCCCATCTCCATGCTCTCACTGCAAGGAGCTACAGGCTGTTGCCTGAATTCATGACCCTCTTACTTTCACTTATTTTTATTATTTTTTTTTATTTATTTGACACAGAGAGAGAGAGCGAGCGCAAGTAGGCAGAGAGGCAGGCAGAGGGGGAGGAGGGAGCAAGCTCCCTGCTGAGCAGAGCCAGATGCGGGGCTCGATCCCAAGACCCTGAGATCATGACCTGAGCCGAAGGCAGAGATTTAACCCACTGAGCCACCCAGGCGCCCCTACTTTCATTTATTGATGTAATCTTTACAGTTGTCAATATTGCTCATTCTATACAATTGCTCTCTACATCCCAAATTTAAACCAGTGTCTAGAGTAGATCTCCTAATATTCCTAAAACTTCACTCCTCTATCAAAGCAGATTTCCAGAGAGCTCCATGCCTGGACTAACTTCAAGACAACTCTTGTACCTGGTAGAAATGCCCTCACAGTCTACTATCTAGAATGTGAGCTCTAGGAGGAGACGGCTTCAGCAGGAGCCATTGTGAGAGACAGTCATAAGAAGAAAACTTAAACAGGGGCACCTGGTGGCTCAGTCGTTAAGCGTCTGCCTTTAACTCAGGTCATGATCCCGGACTCCTGGGATTGAGCCCTGCATTGGGCTCCCTGCTCCAAGGGAAGCCGGCTTCTCCCTCTCCCACTCCCCCTGCTTGTGTTCCTTCTCTCTCTCTCTGTCAAATAAATAAATAAATAAAATCTTTAAAAAAAAAAACTAATTGAAGGCACCTTTTAAAGTTCCTTTTACAAAACTTACATGATAATTCTCCCTTGGAGAACATTGCATAGAAAACCACGGTTATTGACAGCCTGATGGGCTTTCAATTAAATAATGAAAGATATGGAATCCACAATGTCTCTCTTATTTTGGCTACCTAAAAGCTCAGGATTTTATTGCTTCCTGGTCTAGCTTTTACGATGTGTCAATCAGCTTTGGGACTTAAAACTGTTCAAACTTCAGTTTCTTGGTCTATAAAATGGAGGTAACTGAAAAGAAATAAACAGATAGACAAGACAATCAGATAAATAAATAAATAAAATGAAGGTATCTAATACCTACTTTGCAGAGTGGTGTGCACAAAGTCAAGCATGGTATATTGTGCATTCATTCAACAAATATGTACCGACTGACTTCTAAGAGACTGAATTCACAAATGGACAAAGGCCAGATCATATATAAAAATAGAACCCTAACCCACGTCCTGTCCAGGAAAGCAACCCCTTTACCTTCAATAAACAAGCCGGGAAGCCGGCCTGCTACTTCCTACAGAATACTATCTCTACTAACAATCCAAAAAGCTAAACAGTAACATCTATGGCAGTTGGCCCCAAATGGCTAGGAATGGATTATGGAGAGCTTCTGTAAATTTATCCCCAGTTCCACTTAATATCAACCAGAGAAAACCAAATACATACCCCTAACCAGTCACATGCAATGCCCCACTTCTAATTAGCCTGCCTCCAGCTTCCCCATGCAAACAGAGTCCAGTCAGAGCAACCCTAAGCCTTCCCTTTTGTCTACTGTAGAGCTTTCCCATTCCTCTGCCTGCCTTTGAGTCTCTGCCAAAACATAAGCAGTGGTGGCTGACTCTTTGCTCTAGCAAGTTCAGAATACATGGCCTCTGTTTATTTCTATATTTCCATGTATAAGACACTGCATTTAGTGCTAGGAATATAATGGTGAACATGGTCCCTGCCCTTCTGGAGTTCACTTTCTTTTCTTCCTTTTTTCAAGATTTTAATTATTTATTTGAGAGAGAGAGAGAGAGAGAGAGACAGTGTAGGTGGAGAAGAGAGGGAGAAGCAGGCTCCCCACTGAGCAGGGAGCCCGATGCGGGACTTGATCCCAGGACCCTGATATCATGACCTGAGCCGAAAGCAGGCACCTAACCGACTGAGCCACCCAGGCACCCCTGGAGTTCACTTTCTAAAAGTAACACCAGTGGATTAACTGGCCAGCAAATACACAGATATAGGCAAGCAGAGCCCAGTGAATGGCATGAAGGAAAAAAAGAAAGTGATGTAAGGCCCAGGAACTGGGTGTTAGAGGTGGTCTGCCTCAGACAGGCAGTTAGAGAAGACTGCTCTGTGTGGAAGAAATTGGAGCTGAAATATGAAGGATGAGAGTGAGCTAGCCACATAGAGAGGGAACATGGAGCACTGTAGGCAGAAGGCTTAGAGAACAGTCAAGCCCCAACGTGGGAAACTACATGGCAAGTTCTAGGCCAGTGAGGCTGGGGTGTAGTGGGCAGACAGAGTGGTATGAAACGAAGTAAATAAGTAATAGTTATGGCTAATAATTATTGCTCTGCTCTAACAATAATAATTGATAGCTTGCTTGATGGTGATTTTATTATCTCTAGGCCTTCCATTATAAGCGGTTTCTAATACTTTTGAAGCGGCCATTATAAAGAAAAAAAGGAATAAAGTCATTGATAAGAAATAATTTCAATTGCTAACATTTATCAAGAGCTTACTATGATGCTTTCTGTGCCTTAAACATCTAATTCTCGAAGTAATCCCATGCAGTAAATACTATTACTACTTCTTTTTTGCAGATGAGGACGTGAGACACAGAATTTAATAAACCCGGCAGAGCTGACACCGGGAAGTTGAAGAGCAGGATTTGAACCAGGCACTCAGAATCCAAAGCCAGTGCTTAGGCAATGCAGTCTCTTGAAGGGGCTGAGCTATTGTGAATCAGTGATTTGATGGTACACATGGGTCCTCCTAGGTTTCTAATAGTTATGCTTGCTACTAGCAGGAAATATGTTTGAAATTCATCATCTATAACCTATTATCAAGGATTCACACGTCTTCAGATTCTATATATTATGAAGGATTAGGGCTTCATGGAGCATGGGAAACATTTCCCTCATAAGAAAAACAAAGAACTCTAATTAATTAACACTTTAATCATCATTCTCAATTTGGAGAATTTATCTATTATTGAGTCTTTATCCATAATTTACTTTACAGATGTTTATGTGGGTCTAAGAACACCCACTTTGCAAATATGGGTCTGTCTCCTGGGTGCTATTAGATCCAACGAAGACTGATTTTATTATTTACATGCATTTGATCAGAGCACGTTAGCAGGCAAAACAGTCTGGGCATTGCGAAGAATAGCTTTTAACTGCCCATTTCCGGGATGGAGTTCTGAGCGCCTAACCTCTGACTGCCTGAAGCCCACCCATCTGGAAGCCAGGCCATGCCCCCGCTGCACTCACTTACATTCCCATCGTGGTTTGGGCAAGAGAGAGGCTTTCCCGCAGCCACCGCGGTGACCGTCTCCAGGATGGAGGACTCCTCAGCGTCGCTGCCCGGCGTTCGCTGCAGCACGTCCATCAGGTTCGTGATGAAGAAGTTGTTCTGGAGCGCGGCCACCCCCTTCTCGGGCAGGATGGATGTCTGGCGGCACACGGGGCAGGAGAGGGTGAGGCTGTGGGCGGGAATGTAGTTCTGCAGGCACCTGTCATGGGGGCAGAAGCAGGGGGACTGTCAGCACAAGGGGCTCACAGGCTATAACGGGACCAGCTCCTTTCACAGGTGGCACGCATGTCCTCTGCACCTGTATGGGCTCCTTTGTAGAAACTCCCACTCGAGTCTCCTTTTCTAGGAAAATAAGATTTCCGGAACCAAGAGGTAAGGTGTACTCACATGGGTACTGTCAGCTGATGGGATTAATGATGAAGCTCAAGGAGAAGGATAATATCATTGACTCTGGTGGTGTTCCATGGAGCCTCGCCATGCTCAAGCAGCACTGGCCTCTCCAGGGAGTTTGGAAGAAGTGCAGAATCTCAGGTCCTACTCCGGGCCTGCTTGAATCAGCTCCCCGGGGTGCTTTATGCACAATGAAAGGTTGGGAAGCACTGTTCAAGAATATCCAGTGTCGTGTTCACAGACTTGTGGACTTTTACAATGGGGAGAAACGGGTCAAAGTTTTCCACTGGTGTTGAAATGTTTTTTTACGTACAAATGCATAAGCAGATCTCAGATGTTAAAAACATATCCCGAGGGGTGCCTGGGTGGCTCGGTTGGTTAAGTGACTGCCTTCTGCTCAGGTCATGATCTTGGAGTCCCAGGATCGCGTCCTGCATCAGGCTCCCTGCTCAGCGGGGAGTCTACTTCTCCTTCTGACCTCTCCCCTCTCATGCTCTTTCTCACTCTCTCAAATAAATAAATAAATAAATAAATAAATAAATAAATAATCTTAAAGAAAGAAAAGAAAAGAAAACCATATCCCGGGGAAAATATTGTATTTGAAGCAGGGATAGGACACCCAGAGACACATCAACATGATCTTTTCTTGCCTCTACTCAACAGGCAATTGATTAACTCAATCATATAATTAGCAAAATGCATTGTTAATAATGACTTACATATGTGTTGCTCGCTAGATTCAAAGTACTTGCAAAAACCCCATGAAGTAGGTACTTTAGACACATGAAGGAACACAGGCAGAGGGAAGAAAAGTCACTCTCAGAACTCCGGTGGAAAAGGGCACTGGGCAAACCCAGTGCAAATCCAGGCAACTGGGCGTTAGAACCTACGGTCTCCATAACTACTGTGCACAGTGTTTGTTTCCCTGTTGCTCCACCAAGTGGAATTTGAAAACCTCTGATCTAGTCTCATTCCTCTTACTATGTACATAAGGAAACTGACATCAAGGAGGTTAATTGACTTTCCTGTGTCCCAGAAGTAGCTATCTCTGAATCAATACCAGAAACAAAACAGCTTTTGCTAAGGTCACTGAGAGCATCTACATCCAGACAATGGACATTTTTTACTCCTTTCTCAGTAGCACTCATCAAACTTGACCACTGCCTCCCAGCTGTTCTCTTTTGAAACTTTATCTTCCCTTGTTTGTGACAATTCACGTACTCGGTTTTCTGATGTGCTCTATTTTTTCTGCTGAGCCACACAGTCTGTGTGTGTCTCCCGGGGACATCATATCCACATGCATGGCCATACGTACAACACTCCCATATTTCTATTTCTTCCACAGATGTCTCCTCTTAGCCCCTGATCTCTACACCAATAGCTTTCTCGGCATTTCCCCTGAGATGTCTCACAGGTCCTGAAACTTGGTATGTCCAAACCCAAAGCTATGTTCTACCCCCAAACCAGGTCCTCTTCTCTCTCAATGAGCAGTACCTCCATCCATTCATCTAGGCAAAGCAGGTACTGGAAGCCATGCTGAAAACAGTCATTTCCTTAGTGTCCATTTTCCACATCCAACCCACCACTGAAGGCTGGAAATGCCTAAATACCTTCCAATGTTTCCAATTCTTGTTATCTGATTTACACCATCCTTTCCTGGGTTTTTGGAATAGCTCTATACACTATCACCCACCCTCAAACCCTCTAACCTTTCTCCATATCGCAACCAGAGTGACCTTCTCAAAACTCATTCCACGTATTACATAGGGACTTGTGATAGGATCTTGAAAATCTCCACCACCGGCCATCAGATGGAGGAACTGAAGTGGATGGGGCTAGACCCAACCAAGAGGGCTGGGAGCAGACCCAGGACAGCCCAGAAGTGTTGCTTCTTTTTTCTTTTCTTTTCAAGATTTTATTTATTTATTTGACAGAGAGAGAGAGATCACAAGGAGGCAGAGAGGCAGGCAGAGAGAGAGAGGAGGAAGCAGGCTCCCTGCTGAGCAGAGATTCCCGATGCGGGGCTCGATCCCAGGACCCTGAGATCATGACCTGAGCCGAAGGCAGAGGCTTTAACCCACTGAGCCACCCAGGTGCCCCTTCTTTTTTTTTTTTTTTTTTTAAGATTTTATTTATTTATTTGTCAGAGAGAGAGAGGGAGAGCGAACACACACAAGCAAGCAGAGGCCGAGAGAGAAGCAGGCTCCCTGCAAAGCAGGGAGCCCGATGCGGGACTCAATCCCAGGACCCTGGGATCATGGCCTGAGCCAAAGGCAGCGGCTTAACCGACTGAGCCAACCAGGTGTTCCAGAAGTGTTGCTTCTTACTTCTCAGGGCAAGTAAATGGGAGTCAAACAACTGCCTGGCTGGGCACTGAGCAAGGGCAGCTCAGCCAAGCTCAGACTGAGTGGCCCTCAGTGCTGTATAGAAAGGGGCCGACTGCTGCACATCAAATAATGATCGTACCATGTAAGCCCAGGGGTAGAGGGACATTTAGCTGGTGTTCATGTTTTAGATACACCCATTAAATGGGGAGGAGAAAAATCACTCTCCATTTAGTCATTTTGGAATATGAATTACAACATACATACATCAAAGTATAAAACGAATAAAGTAAAAGGTGCTAGTGCCCTAAATAACACCACTAAAACAAACAACACTCTACACACACACACACATACACACACACACACATACACACACCCCAAAATAACCCTCTAAAAAGCAAACAGACAAAAACCCACAATGACCAGTAACAAATCCACCTTTTCCCTCTATCCATGGCCTGGAAGGTATGGTTATTCTGTTGCAACTGACATCTTCCAAAGTAAATCATCTTTAACAAATGTATATGAAATTGATGGCAAATGTAATTAGCAGTGATTTAAAGCCATTGGAAATACCAATTTCCTCTTCTATAATAAGAATTAACACATTTTAATTATGTCTGTTTAATAATAATAGAAAATGTATTTAACAAGATGCTATAAACCTAATTACCATATCTGTTTTTAAGGAAAAAAAATATAACCTTATTACCTACAAACTTTATATGCTTAATTGCTTACATGCTAAGTTAAATAAGAAGGTAAAGATGTATTTTGATAACTGATTAACTCAATGGAAAAAACTATTCAAGAAGGATAAAGAAATGTGTTTTCATACATAGCAAATTGCATATTCAGGTAATTTACAATTATTTCATACACACAGTCTTTTCTTCATCTGAAACATCCCATGTTCCTTAGTATACATCTTCTGAAGTATCTTTGAGAGGAAGCACTCCCTTTTAACTAACTCCTCAATACCTAGGTATTTTACTGATGTGTTCTTTGGAAGGAAATAACAGATTTTTAACTGGCCCTCACCAAAGATCCTCTGTGAGGGAACTGTGGTCAGCAAAAATTGTTTGACAAAGAACAAAGGAAAAATCTTAAATTTTTAAATTTTAAAATATTTAATGCTCCAAGTCCTGGGAGATGAATCTATAGCTACTGGATTGCTTTCTCTCACTTATAATGATTTAAAATAGAATAAATTATTGGCAATTCATGATTATGTTTCTAGATGTCTATCATAAGCACAAAAGACTTACTGTGCCCCCAGGTAAAAGGAGAATTCTGGAAAGAACCCTTTAGTGGGTTGTAAGAGATCGATCTGTGACAGTCTCTTCTCTGGGGACAAAGGAGGCTTACCTCTCGCAGAAAGTGTGCAGACAGGGGAGAACCTTGGGATTCTTGTACCGTTCTAGGCATATACTGCAGATCAGAAACTGCTTGTCAATCTGGCGCACCACAGGACTTGGGATGTTGGTGGCTTCACTGGCCATCCTAGACCACTGACATGGGAGGCCGGCTGTCTTTGACCCTGCACGCTGCTGCTGTCAGACAGGAAAGATACATAATAACTTGTAAGTACGCATCCATCACTGGTCCATTCCCTACAGGCGTTGTGCTATGAATACAGGAGAAGTCCATGCCGGTGACCTCAAAATGACCATAACCAACCCTCAATGCCTGTTGATTTTGTAAATCAGTAAAATGGTCACATGCTCACCATGCAAATGAAACAAATTAGAAGTAGTGTGTTGTCTAAAGAGGCATGTTTGCTGGGTTTCAAAACAGACACAGTTGAGGGGATAAATACTTAGATAGCTCTGCCGGTTCATGTCTTCATTCATGACTATATTTGACCATATGCCTACAGTCTTATTAAAATATAGTCTGTGAGGCACTTGGGTGGCTCAGTTGATTAAGCGGCTGCCTTTGGCTCAGGTCATGATCCCGGGTTCCTGGGATGGAGCCCAACATCGATCTCTTTGCTCAGTGGGGAGCCTGAGTTCTCCCCTGCCTGCCACCCTCCCTGCTTGTGCTTCCTCTCTCCCTCTGTGTGTGTGTGTGTGTGTGTGTGTGTGTGTGTATGTGTGTCAAATAAATAAATAAATAAGGTCATATCTTGAGATCCAGCCCCACTTGGATTCCCACATCAGGCTCCCTGCTTAGCAGGGAGCCTGCTTCTCCCTCTCCCTCTGCCTGCTGTTCCCCTTGCTTGTGCTTGCTCACTCTCCCACTCTCCCAGATAAATAAATAAATAAAATGTTAAAAAAATATATGGTCTATATTAAATAGTATTAGTCTCATTAAGATAAAATGTTTTCCCGACTATTGTGCTTGGATAGGATCAAAATGTCACTCCGGAACACGCCATCTTGACATAAGGATTATTTTGAGCTGAGAGCGACTGGAAATCAGGAGACATGGTGGGGACATGATGGGGTGGCCGGAGGGATTGGCGGGAGGGGGAAAGGGGGTGTGGGTACTCTGCTTCTCCAATCTTCCTAAAAACAGAGCATAGACTTCCCATTTGTAAAGAAGCCCCACTCTCGCAAACGAAAAAGAGGAGACTTAATCATCCCAAGAGAGAGCACGGGAGGGGAGTCTGCGTAACAAACCTTACTAAACCACCCTATGTACCTTACATTTCCTGGGCGCTATCCCACAATGTACTGCTCCTAAACCCCCCTTCCCTTTGTCTGGCCACTTCTCCACAATTTGTCATCCTTTGTTAAAATAGTACATAAGCTCCCAGGTCAAACTGCCTCTTTGGGTTTTCACTTCCTTTCTGTGAAGCCCGCATGCATGTAACATTAAAAATATTAAATTAATAAACATCCATAGAATACAGTATGTATACTATTTTGGAAAAATGAACTACCAATAAAATGTGTACACCTTTCTCTCCTGATAGTCTTTTTGTCAGTTTAATTCACAGGCTTCAGTGATAGAATTTAAGTGTGGTCTGGACCCTGTGTTTAAAGCTGGGCAATCCATCAATCACATTTACAGAATCAACAATTCTACACTTTTTAATGGAAACTCTTTTCCAAACGTGAATGGTAGTTCTTTCTCCCCACCAAATCACCAAATTTTTTAAAAGCATGTCAACTTTTATTAAGAAAATTCTATTTGTATGTATTTGAGTATAATTACATATGTGACACATCCATTTTCCAACTCTGTGTTTCTAGATAAGCTCATTAAAGAGCATGATTAATAAACAGATAGAACCTTGTGAAAGCACCTGCTATACAAGAGTGTCACGTTCAAGTAGAACTCTCTGCATTTGTTAAAACAGTGTGTGACATATCTAATTAGCCCGCATTATCTGCTAGCTTTTTCATAAACTGTCTCCCCAAAGAACTAGTATAGAGAATGATATTCATTGATTGGATTAAATGTGGCTCATCTCTCAGGAGCTCAAAATGTTGACACATCATCTGCTTTTCTTTAACCATATCCCTATGACATCAGAATAGGGAAGGGAGGGCGCCTGGGTGACTCGGGCATTAAGTGTCTGCCTTTTGCTCAGGTCATGATCCTGGGATCCTGAGATAGAGCCCCACATCGGGCTCCCTGCTCAGAGGGAAGCCTACTTCACCCTTTCCCACTCCCCCTGCTTGTGTTCCCTCTCTCTCTCACTGTGTCTCTGTCAAATAAGTAAATAAAAATCTTAAAAAAAATATATAGGAAAGGGAAGGATGGATTTGTCTGTCTTTAAGATAAGGAAACCCAAGCTGAGGGTTTAATTTAAATGACTAACCCAAGGTCATCCAGTAAAATCAGTGAATCCAGAAGCTCAGATTTCAAGTCTTATGCCTTATCTGATAGCTAATCTTAAACAAGTTTAACACTTTCCAGTATGGGGTGTGTGTGTGTGTGTGTGTGTGAGAGAGAGAGAGAGAGAGAGATAAAAATTATGGGGTGCTCACTGCAGTAGCACTAAAATTGGAATGATACAGAAGATTGGCTTGGCCCCTGAACAAGGATGATGCCAAATTTGTGAAGTATTTCACATTAAAAATAAAAAAAAGCATATGAACTTTTCAGTTAAAATCAATTAAAAATAATTTTAATTTTAATAGCTTTTGAAGTTTCATATCGCCCTTTGAGTTTCATATCACCCTTTGAAATAATCACTCATGATGAGTATTGAAAAAAGAGAGAAAACATCATATTGGTTTTAGTCTTTTTTTAATCTTAGAATTTTAGGGTTTGGGCAAGAAAAAAGAAATTTGTTTTAATTGCATGATATACATTGGCTAAATGAAATTTCCTGAGGTGACATTTCTATCCTCAACACTGAAATAAAAACATTCCATTCTAATTTTTATCCTAATTTTATGATCATTATTGTAGTGGGTGAGAGTAAGTCTTTGTTAGTATTGTTAATTTTTATGGTAAATTAAGTTTAGTCCTGAACACTGATTTAAAATCATGACAATATTACTGATCTGTCACAAGTGACTTGTTGAAGACATCTGGATTTGCAGGACTCTCAGAATCAACACAAAAGCTTTCCAACCCCCAAGGATTCCCCAAACTGAGACTTTGCCAGGGTAATGATCATTCCCTGAGTATAACTGGATACCCACAACAGAAAACCACTTTGACTGCTCCTAAAGGAATAATGTGCTGAGGAAAATGGAGGCACAGAATGTGCCAATAAGCACCATGGGAAGCTCTCCACCAGTCTGAATACGCCGCAAGGAATACACATAAAATGTATGACAGCCTTTAATCACAGAGTTTGGGCCCTACCAGTTTCTGGTCGTTTTGATTAGAAAAGCAATAAATAGTTGTCTAGATTCTCGGCTGTTCTCCTTTGCCCCATGTTGGTTTCTGAAGTGTCAGAGATCTCTCTTACTCACAAGGCCAGCAGAAATAAGCACGTGCTAGAGAGATCAGAACACTGAACAACTCTTCTCTTGGAGGCCCACAAAATCAGTTTCTGGAGGGGTGCACCCCAAATATGCCACGGGTGGACTTCTGTCTATGAAGGAACCTGAGTCCTTTCGGATGTAGGAACTAGCACCACACATACTGACAAAAGGCCAATAGAAAAGAAGTGGCAGAGGAGGGGAGGCAAGCAGAGCCATTTTTAAACTATATATACAGCCCACATAGTGTGTTGTTGACATGAACCAGCCATGAGAGCTCTCCCTGAATGGGGAGACTGGCTGAGTTTCCTTCTCAGGGGAAAACCAACAGCAATACTGCTTACAGAGGGGTTCGGGCCTCCTCTCAATAGCACCTTCTCAGACCATTCTGTTTAAAATTGAAACTTGTCCCCCTCACCCCCCCATCCCCTGGAACTTGCTACCTCGTGTCCTTGCTCTATGTCTATCTGTAGCACTGGTCACTTTCCGCTATAGTACGTAATATGTTTATCTGGCACATTGGCTCCTCCCCACGTCTCCAGGATGTAAGATTCACGAAGGCAGGGATTTTTGTCTGACTGCTCACTGCAGGAGTCCCAGCACCTAGAACTGTTCCCGGAACATGATAGACACTCCTTTCTTTGAAGGAACTGAACAAGTCAAGTGTCCCATGGGAATGGACTCAGTCTGAGTAGCAGAAAAGAGTGGCATGAGCTGACTTACACAACAAAGAGCATGGTTGTCACCAGTCACGTGAATGTTTTCATTTGACATCAGACATTACCTGCCTTCCCGGGTGATCATCTAATCTCTAGCAAGATAAGCCATCAGCCAGAGGGTAAATATTCAGGGACATACTTTAACATACTCACAAAAGCAGAAAAGAAATTGAGAACCACTGAGGACACCTCTGCGCGGAAATACAAAGTCTAAGAAGGTTGACACATAAATTCCTCATTAGTAGGGTGTGCCAACTCAACAGCTTTTGAGGGTAACAGCAATGCAATGAGCGTGTAACAGAATCCTTGGGCATAGAAAAACCCTATCCCAGCATTTCTTGCCTCATGTCATCTCTGGTTTTTTTTCCTGGCACACGTTCTCAAATCTCCTAGAACTTGATGGAAACTACAACCAAGTGGAAAAGCAGAACTTGAGAGGAGAGGAAAAAAAAGGAAAATGCCTGTGTCCATAATTCTAGGGTTGAGACCACAATTCCCACCCCAGATTATACCATTTAGATCAGAAAATGATCCCAATGTTTTATTGCTGACACCAAAGTGAGAAAGAGCAGGAAGGGAGGGTGGAAGACAAATGACAATCTGAAAGCCTTCGTCTTGAGAAGAGGAGAGAGTTGGTGACAACTTGTTGGCTGGGCTAGGAAACATGGTTGGGAAACAGGTCAAGATTCCTTTAGAAAATAAAGTTTGAACATGTGATTTGCGGGTAGGAGGCAGCATATTTGATTATATACCATCGTAAAGGCACTGGATTCCATTTCTATTTAATTTTATGGCATTTGTGGGTGACTGCTTCTCTTTGTCGCCACTTAGCCGGCTTTATCTATTATCAATGTTACATTTTTGCTATTCTTGGACCAATGACAATGGTGCAGACACACTAAAATCAGCTTCCCAAGAAGTTAAAAATCTGACGGTGGATTTGTA